TATCCAAGGAGCTAAATGTGCAAGACCTAGGGTCAAAGCAGCTGAATACACCAACCTCAGAAAACACAGACAATGAATTGCAAATGACACTCAAAACAAAACGGGAAAAAAACCTTCACACAGAAAACTACAAAAGAACTCCACAGATACTGAATTGGCTTTCTGTACACACTGATCCTGCTTAACTGTGTGTGGTAACTAACCAAACGCTTTGAGACTAATAGTCATAAAATAGAGACTCGGGGGTGGGGGAAAGATAATGGTGTGGGGGAGAACTGTAAGGAAAAAGATTGCATCCTCCTCTTTCTTTTCTTTTTTCTTCTTTTTCTTTAAGGCGGGAAACGCATCTGTTGCGACTTTCTGCTATTTTGATGCGCTGAACATGACAGTTCAGCACAAGGCAGTCCCTCTGCTTTTAATTGTGCTGGAGAAGCCTCACAAAAGGTGCACTGTTTCAGCTTCGGGGACACAGCACAAAACAAATGGTTTAGTAAACCTAACAGAAGCACTAGTTTTTTTGTGACGCAGAGTTCTTCTACTGTAGCTCTCAACTTGTGAGCAAGCCATCAATACAAGACATAAAACTGGCATGTACAGCACCAGCCTGAATGCAGCTGTCTGAATTGATGTACTGCTGGTCAGGTTCTTGTTGGGACTCGCTCTGGCTTGATCATAGGCCACATGACTTAAGTTGCTTCAGTACTGAGAGAAAACGCTAGTGCTAGTTTAGCTACGTACTAACGGAAGGATTAGAACTTATCTAGTGTTAATTACCCATCACAGCAAGTTTATAAGATGGTCGAGTTTTTTTTTTTTTTTCAAATGACCATCTATTGCACTGTGTAAAAAGAATTATTAAGCGATCAGGAAATTAACTTTATTTCAGGCATTTTGCTGAGAGGCCATTAATTGCCCTCTTCATCCAAAACAAAAAAAGCAAAGCTAAAATACAGACTACTGATGGGGGAAGTGGTCCAGTAACGAAACACACTTTCACATTTTGATTCCGCCATTCCATAACTTCAATATAACTTTTTTTTTTTTTTTTTAAAAGGACAACTACTCAATTATTCAGGGAAAGTCTCTTCTCTCTGCACTCTCTGTCTCTCTTTGTGAGAACACTTTTTTACTCTTTTTGTTTGGAAACTCACAGCACACAGCAGCATAAAAAGAAAAAAAAGGAAAAAAAACACCCCACACTCTGCCAATCCTCCAGCTATGCTGAAAACTTGAAAGTCATGACAGTTACCACAAAAAAAAAAAACCCTAACAAAAAACAATAGTGCCCCAGTTTCTCCAAATTTTCCTTTGAAGTATTAAGACCCACAAATGTGGCCCTCCATTTTGTAAAACTGGTTAGCATTCTTTCTTTTTTTATTCCTTTTTGGATTTTTCGAGGTAATTTCTCTTTCCTTTCCCTAAGCTAAGTATGCTCTTTTACTCTTTCTAGTAAAGTTTTTAAGTGAATTAGGTAAGAAAGAAGTTCTCTGCTTTGTCACTTTCTCTGTATAGTTTCAAAAACTAGATAACACTCCAAACAGGAATCAAAAAACTCTTACCCATTGCTTGTTTCCCCATGGCACACTGATAAGTATTTCTTGGGGACTGGTTGTGGTGAGGATACGGAATCAGCCCAGCACAGACACCAAGAAGCGTGAAAGGCTCAATCTCCAGATGTGTTGTATCTCTTAAAAGAAAGAGCATCAGTTACAACAAACTTGTGAACTCTATTTCATTTCGTTTAGTAGTACCTCATAATACTATACAATCTAATTTACCCTTGTTCAGGAAATCGTCAGTCAGTAAGACCTCAGAGTGTGGCTCTACTATAGTCTTTACTCAACTTTATTTTGGCTTTAGTGGTTCCATAAGAAGAGAAATGAGGGAGGCACAGAACAAGTACGAAGTTCCATCACGGAGAAAAAGCCTTTAGGTAACAACTTGAGGGGACTCAGCAAGACCATAAAGCATCAGTTGATACAGTAAGTCACAAAAACGTCCTTAAGGAATGTCTTCTCACGTCATGAGAGTCCTCTGCATCAACTTACCTATCTCGGAAATCTAGGAATTTGCAGGGGAGGTGGGAGAAGGAGGAGGAAGACAGATTCAGGTATTGGGGAAAAAAAAGGGGGACATTTTAATTTTTCAAGGTCAGTAATATAATGTTAGTCAGAGAGAAAACATCCATGTCCAAACCACATCGAGTGCCATGTCTGATATGGCATAAAAAAGCACTATTTGTAAAGTTCTGTAAGTACTTTGGAAGTGGTTTTGTTGTTAAAAGGTGATATTGATGAGAAATAAAATGACATAGACAAGGAGTAAAGACTGAGAGATGAGAATACAATCTCTTCTATCTGGCATTAGCTTCAGAGGAGAAAGTCCATGCTCAGTAAAGATAACTAGATCATAGCGTGCACTGGGATGCAGGTGGAGTGACTAATAACTAAGGATAGAGTATACAACGAAGCTAGGCTGCAGCAAGTCTGCTTTTGAATTCAAGAGAGGTAACTAGGAAATGGAGAACTTTGAAATAAAGATAATTTAAAACGCAACCTACATATCTTTTATGATGTTCTGGAGTTATTAAATAGAGGTTGATTTTAGGTATACGTTGCTTTTCCCCTACACCTAAACCCCCTGCGCTGTTTGAAAAGCCCATTTTCAGTGCTCAACTACTCTTGCAAATTTCTTGGCATTTTTTGGAATTAGTTAAATGCATTAATTTGATTACTAAACTTTAAGACCTTGCAAACAAAACGACTGGAAAAAAAAAATCTTTATTATGACAACACTCAAAAGAGGTCAAAGCATCTCAGTCTCTAAAAGGCTGAGGGAGTACTCTTAAGTACATACAGACTAAAGACAACAGGGATCTGTAGAAACTTATCATAAACAATATATGTACTGGAACACCAAAACCCTGAGGAACAAGCCTAGTGAAACTAGCTAGCAGTCCTAGATACCTGTATAAATTATGAACGTGCTTATATAAATCTAAGCAAACTAAAAATCCCCTGCTGGCTAGAGGGCAGCAGCTATTTTTCTCCCCTTGAAAAAAAAACAGCTATGCTCAACGGAGATCTGTCTTAATAAAATAAAAGTGGTAGAATCCCAATTGCAGTGAAGCAATTCCAAACTGGTCTCAAGAGACATTAGTAAACTGAGAGCATGGACAGCAGTCCCATTCTGCAGAACTTCACAGAACTACTGACACTGTTATTGATGATTAAAAAAAAGATGCTGCCTTAAGAATACACTGGAAATGAAGTTAAGAACGTATTCAGAAGGCACTAGTGCACGCAGTTACATACACATTTTCAGATAGGATACAATTCAGCACAAATATTTTTCCATTGAAGTCAATCCCACTTGAGGAAGATGCAAAATAAGCATATCCTAATATCTAACAATGTATATACCACAGTGTTAACGAGAGACTATCAAAGTTTACAGAGCAGTCCAATTTCCGCAATTCAAAATGCCACCGCCAGAAATGGACCTAAGAAAGGAAGGCAACCTCATGAGTTTGAAAAAAAAAATAATAATAAAAAAAAGTTACAAATGGATAAGGAAGAAACTGAACACATTAAAAAGAGTCAAATTCTCCAAAGAGAACCACTTAATTGGATTGGAAAGGTAAAGAGAGGATACTGTAGCTAAAAGAAGCCTACATTACAATAGCAGGAATGTTAATAGGATACCTCACACTAGTGGATCTTATCAGCTGTATCAATATAACAAGTTGCACCAACATGGTTGCAAGATGATCAGCTGGGGGAGGGTGGAAGCAGAGAACCAACAAACCAACACCAAAAGGTAGGGAATATTATTGCTAAATACAAAGAGCAATGTGCTCATAAGGTGCAAGTTCAGATACTTGTGTCACTAATAATTACAAGGATTTAAGTTAAACAAGTGTATGAGCAATACAATAATCTTCTAAACTTTTGGCAGTTATCTTGGGGTCATTTCCTCCCACTGGTCCACTGCAGGTCCATTGCCTCCCCTTTTTATTTTTAAGGGAACAGTGATTTCACACAATCCCCTCCCATTAATCTTCCTTACTGAGTCAGGTGTCCTATAACTTAAATTTTTCAGCTGTGATGCTTTGTGGAGGTTATTTAACTTCGGCAAAAGTGACAGTAACTGTGTATGGTCCTCTTTGCCGATGTGTACAGGAAGCCAGCCAAGGGCATGCAAGAATAATTTCTTTAAAGTGACAAAGTCTTCAAAGGCCTGGGCAGGAGGAATGCAATTTCATTAGCAGAGTGAATGCATTTCACCTGGCAAAGGTTAAAGACACTAAGATTCTCACCCAACTCCAATGAAACTTCTATGCTGTATTTTCAGTAGCTTCTGTAAGCGCTTGACCAGGACATCACTTTTATAAAATGCATTTTCTGCATAAATCTACTGATCAAACATTTCATGGAGTTAACTTCTGACATACTACATGCAACCTTCAGTCGGTAAGATATTGTCAGAGCAACATTAAAAAAAAAAACAGTGAGGAGACTGGAGGACTTAAACATTTAGAAGAATCCTTCCTTAAACGGGGGCTCTTTGATCACAAGCAGTCACAAGCTAGAAAAACAAAACAAAGCACCAGATCTTCTCAAATAGCAAGAAAACACAAAAATCTTGAAATCTTTCTGAATGAAAACTGTGTAACAGGAGCGCATTTAACGTACATGGTAAAGAATACACAATATGATACAGATGTTCTTATCAGGGACTATTATACAAGTGAGAGTAAAAGTGAAAGACTCATTTCAACAAGCTTTAGACATTTAGTGTCAGATGGTTGTCCAGGATCCCTCTACAGTCAAATGAAAGAGAGAGATCATCGTTTAACAGGTGGAACCATTTGCCTTCTGTATTCTTAATGTGTACAATTACTTCTGATGACCAGTCGAGAAGAACAAAAAAGCCCCCTACACCCAGAGAAACAGAGGATACACATTTTAAGTATTTCATATTTTTGTGGGTTAGGAGCAGGAATAGATGTTCCAAAAAACAAAAGCAAACCATCTTTTGTAACTATTCTTTCTTTACCTTTTTTCTGAGGTTGTTTCAACCATTAGCAAGGGGGGGAGGGAGTGAACAGTGACATGATTCATGTGCTTGCGTTTATGAGATTCATCCTATGAACATTTTTCCCATACCAGTGTTTAGCCTCAACACACACTTACTTATTAATTGTATGTTCATACAGAGCAATGTTACAATCATTTTCTTCATTCACATCCAAATATTCAACAAGGCCTTCGTGCAAAAAGTCTTCAAAATTCCTATAGTTAAATTAAAAAATTACACTAAAAATTATGGTCCTTTCTTACATTTCTGCAAAAATAAAATGGTATAATACATACATTAGAGGAATGTAATGAGTAGAAGTTGAGAAATGATTTTACATGAAAAGCTCTGTGGATTTTTCACCTTAAAAAAAAGGTTATTTTCTTTTAAACTGAACCCCCTTGACCCTTCATGCCCTCACACAGTCGGACTTACCAGTGTGACTTATTTGAACAACTAAGTAAAATAGCCCTATATGCACTCAGCATCACTGTAAAGGAAGCCAAGTATAAATGCAACCTAGTAATTTTTTGTGATGATTTTGCAATATGTTGTTAAAGATAAATCTAAATGCTTTTGTTTAAGTGTAGGGGGTTTTAAACATATAATACTAAAATTTTCCAGTACTTTCAAAACTAATTCTGAATGTTCTAGTTTAGGGTGGTCAAACTGATATTCCTTTAAAGCATCTGATTTTCAGTCAATAGAAGCATAAAATTTTATCAGGTCTCTAAATTCAGTCACTTGTGAAAAGATGGGGCTGTGCTATATATACTTATTCTATATAACCACCAAATTTCATAGCACTAAAGAACACAAAGACTAGACTCTTTCATTTCATTTTAAAAAACCTCTGATGCTTATTATTAATTTACATAGGAGAGCAGACTTCTCTACATAGCTAAACGACATTGTAAAACGATGGACTAACTGAAGTAGGTCTACATAATATTTACAGACTGATGTGAAGATGAATATAATCCACTCAAAATATTTACCTGTATCCTTGAGCCAGTTCTTCCATATGCTTGTTTGTAACTGCAGGTTTTTGCTTCTTTACAATTATATAGGGTCTACAATTAAAAAAAAGTTTTGACTATTACTTGCTCTAAAGTATGCACATAGTTAATCAATGCTAAACACACCCAAAAGTATGCAAGGAACACAAATTCCAACTTCGAGGAAGAGTTTTTTTTTTTTTTCCTCCAATCTTTAACTAATGTTCTCTTTAAACTAACTTTTTAAAGTTTAACCTACACATTTTGCCGATGATTTTGAAAGACTTAAGCTTTCTCAATCTACAAAGCTAAGAACAGCATTAAGTTGTAGGGATATCGCAGAGACCTCATACAACACTGAGCAAACAGTTGTGCTCCAATGCCTGCATGCAAGAGTGCATTTTCCTGTTACTTACATGATATAGATACAAAGTACAGGCATTTGCTACAGGTTGCATCAGATGAATCCATAAATTTCAACAGCACATGGATCTCTGAAGGTTTCCTCACCGCAAGGAAACACTGACACAAAGGATGGCATGCGAGAATGAAACGTCAAGGGCTGTTGCTATTTGGACAAGTTGCTCTTATAAAGAGCAGCAAATAGCTGCAAGAGACTTGTGGAGTCTGCTTGGAAATCTAAGTAAGTGTTTGAAGACTAATGAGCACTTTAAAGTGGTTAAGAGGGGGGATATGAACAATTGCTGGGGTGGGGGGGAAGGTCACAAGGTAAACTTGGTAAACTCGGAAATCCATATGATTTCACTTGGGGTTTTTTGTTTGTTTTTGTTTTTTTGTTTTCGTTTTGTTTTGTTTTAGTTGGAACACACATTGGAAGTTTTGCTGCATCTCCAAACCTGCAGAACGGCTGGTATTAGCCCTGACCGGAGAAGCAACTTCTCTGCTATTTAATTCGCTCCTGTCTCTGGATATATTGACCAGGTAATGATTAACTGACAGTTTGTACATAAAAGATTCTGGGACCTTTAGAATGCCTCAAACTGCATTCAGTATGCTCTGTTTGGAGTTTCAATTAATGAATAAGGTGGAATGTCAACAGCAATTTTGACTATTACTTGCTCTAGAGTATGCACATAGCTAATCAATGCTAAAATATGCATATATTTATTAAGTGATTCTTAATTTCTTAAGGGATTCCAATTTCTTTTTTGTTAATCTGTTATGCCTTGTCCTTTAGGATAAATTATTTAGGCCTGGAAATGTTTTACTTTTAAATAACCTAGCACAGTGCAGAAACAATCTGACTGGAGTCTCTAGCCTCTAGTATAATACAACCTAATTTTATGCCTCAAAATATTGTTATATTCCACCCTTTCTTATTTTTGCCATCCAACTCCTCCTTGCTCTCCTCTGTGACATGACTGTTTTTCAGGCACACTCTCCATCTAATACAGATCTTAAGCATCTCAAGGCAGGGACCTTCCTTATAGGTGTGTCAAATTCCATGCCTCCTTATGGGGAAGCAAAGAAATAAATCAAAATTGTGAGAGATACTTCCTTGTTATTATAGCAAACAGGTATGCATCTGAGAAAACGTTGCACCAGGAGTAAAGATGACCTCTCTTGAGGGGAAAGAGCAGATTCTGATCCTACAATGTGGTATCAAAGCCAGTGGGATATTAGGTGAGTAGCTGCTTGTTTCTTGCTTCTGGACTGGGGTATTTTTATACAGAAAGTAAAAAAAAACCTTTAAGGACATGGGATATTATTGCAGATCAGGTTGATTTTTCTTCCCTTTTGTTTAGGAGATGGAAGCCACATTTTGTTCTGAGTTCTTTTTAAATATATATCTTTTTTGAAGTTGATTGACTACATAGTATGTTTCTCTGATCAGCTGGCTTCGAATAAGGGTTATTTGAGGAGAAAAGAGATTTTCATGTCCTAATGAATTTGAATACAGATCACGTGCTCAGATTTGTAAGTGTGAAAGCCTCAGCCTTGTGTATTTTCAGTGCATAAAAGGCTGATTCTGATGAGAAAGTTCTGATGAGACGTTTACCTGCACAATCTCCCTCCATCAGAGGAAATGTAGACACATCTGTCAGAAAGATTTGTAGAGATGGAAACAAATTCGTTGATATAACCTGCTCGCCGCATTATCCGAAACGTGTTGACTAGTTTCTGATGATCTCGTATGACACCAAGGATGTTACCTATTCAGAAAGAGAGTAAGTTGATGGTACGTGTTTTGCATATCCAGAACTCCTTATAAGTTCTGGCTATGTCTAGCATGCAAGAATTACTTCCTACTTCTTGCAAATAACCATTGTGGTCATAACATTTCCCTTTTCCCCCATGGGAAGTTTCAGCCTTGGTAAGGAAGACAAAGTATTCTGTTAACATAAAGAATCTGCGTGGTTTTCAAATTAGAATTGCCTCTTCTTCCTCTCAATAAACATTTAAAAAAAAAGTGTCAGAACTTCAGAGATCATCAACCTATTTGTCTCCAAATAGCTTCTGAAACAAAGTGGTGTGCTTCGTTCAGCTCCCTTCCAATGCATTCC